CGGGTCTATATCCTTCAGGAGTAAATATATTCGCCATAGAATACAAATTTTTCACAAAAGCCGGAGTCCATTTGACCCGCTAAATATTGATCGATCTTTATCAAAACAGGCATGCTTATTCTTTGGCCCGATCCCCCTTTCCATGTAAAAATTCGCGATAACGGCCCCTGGAGCGACCAGAAAACCGGACAAAAATTAAGTATTTGGCCCATTTCATCCCCTAAATATTAACCGATAGGGGTCTGCATTGGCCAGAACCCATCCTATATGCAAAATTTCGTGAATATTGGGCAATAACTGTGGCCTGTATCGTGTTTACAAATTATAATGGACAGGCGGACGGACGGACACACATGTCTAGATCGACTCAGCTAGTCGAGATATGACGATCGGCATACTTAAAGGTGGGTATACGACCAATATTTCGCGACGTTACAGACTCTTGGGACTGCACACAGCTTTAATACCCTGACAACATAGTTGTGTAAGGTATACAAATAAATAAATAAAATAAAAAAATAAAAAAAAAACAAAAAGCAAACCTCAGCTTGCCTTTAGATTTAGCTAGTCTGTAGAATACTCTTTCCTACTCGACTGAAGTCTCCCCAGTTCAAATTAAAAAAAAACACACACACACATTGGTCTCCATGTAGGCAACAGAAAATTTACATGAGCCTGTTTATAAAGAAAGACACCTTGTGTGGGTCTATGAAAACAGCATTCAGTCAGTTTCTAAAGACAGCCTTGAGCCCGTCAATATAGACATTCTGAAGATTGTCAATAAAGACAGCCTTGAGGCTGTCTTCTTAAGTCTTGAGCCTATAAAGGCAGAATTTAGCCTATCTATAAAGACAGTCTAATGACAGCCTTGAGTATGTCTATAAAGACATTCTGGAAACTGTCTATAAATACAGCCTTGAGTCTGTCTATAAAGACTGTCTTGAGCCTGTCTATAAAGACTGTCTTGAGCATGTCTGTGAAGACAGCCATGAGCCTGTCTGTAAACTAAATTCAGTCACTAAAGACAGCCTTAAGCCCGTCAATATAGACATTCTAAAGTTTGTCAATAAAGACAACCTGTGAGCCTGTTTAAGAAGACAGTTTTGGGCCCATCTCTAGAGACAGCCTTGTGCGGGTCTATAAAGACAGCCTTGTTCATGTCTACAAAGGCAAAATTGAGCCTATCTATAAAGACAGTCTAATGACAGCCTTGAGCCTGTCTATAAATACAGTCATGAGTTTGTCTATCAATACAGCCTTGAGTCTGTCTATAAATACAGCCTTGAACCTACCTATAAAGACTGTCTTGATCCTGTCTAAAAAGACTGTCTTGAGCATGTCTACGAAGACAGCCATGACCCTGTCTGTAAATACATTCTGAAGTCTGTCTATAAAGACAGCCTGGAGCCCGTCTATAAAGCATAGCTATAAATACAGCCATGAGCCTGTCTATAGAGACAGCTTTGAACCTTTCTATAAAGACAGCCTTGAGACCGTCGGTAAGGACATCATGAAGCCTGTCTTTATAGAACCTGAGCCTGTCCATAAAGACAGTTATGAGCATGTCTAAAAAGACAGTTTATATCCTGTCAATAAATACCGCCCTGAGTCTATCTATGAGCCTTGAGCCTATACAAATATATTCTTGTAATTACTTTATTCTTTGTTTTTTTTTTTCAGAGAACGCCACCCGTTATTGCCACGCCAATGGAACCTGGGATCAATATACCAACTATGATGCCTGTATGCATTTAACAGAACCTGCCACCGTTTCGGAATTTGAACCGATAATCGAATTGCCAACAATAATCTATTATGTGGGCTATACCATATCACTGGTGTCGCTAACCTTGGCCCTGATGGTTTTTGCCTACTTCAAGTAAGAGGAAAAAAATAATTTAATTATTTCATTAACACACACACACACCTCCAAGTCAACCTCTTACGGAATTGTGTAATTTGTTAATTTTACAGAAAAAAGGGTTACACAACAAAAGGATTTGAAAAAAATAACAACAAAACTGTGTAAAAATAATGAATGAATGGAAGAAGGAAAAAAATTAAAGCTTTTATGTTAATGAGGCCAATGTTTGTGGTTTTGTCGGAGGGTTTCTTTTTGTAGTGCGCGTGCATACCTGGCTGGGAGTGTAGCTGACGAAGTCTTGTGGTTTATTATATGTTTACACGCACACACATATATATCCTCACCGTCGTAGTGGCGGAAAATTTCAGTAAACACATTCCAGTTGTAGCTACAGCAGTAATTAGCACCTATTAAAGTGAAATTATTTTTAGACGTGACAGCAAATATTTGTGCACGGCAAGTGTTGGGTTATGTGGGAGAATAGTGAAGGAGGACTTAGAGGATGAGGGAGAATATTGTCTCCATAAAACTATTATTTACACGTTGGTATGCGTAACATTTATGAAAGGGGATTGGGGAAAAATGTTCTTTCCCAAGACTATTATTTACATATGTGCAGATTCCCTTTGATGCTACCCAATAAAAAAATAAATAAAATTCGCATCCTGTCAACTGAAGCTCTTAACCTTGAGTCCTTTGTCTTTTATTTGCTCTCAGGATATTGTTTTAATTTTCTTTTTTTGCTCCCAATAAATATTTAATTTTATTTTCGAGCAGCCATTAAAAACACATTATATGCACTTCTTCTGCGGAGTTAATGACTCTGTCCGTCACTTAGATTGACAGTCAGGACAAGAAACAACTTTAAAAGTTATTTCTGTGTCACTGCAAATATTTGAAAAACTTTTTTTTCTGTTATGTTCTGTTATTTTTTTTCTCAAGCTCTCTTATATCACACATTCTTTGTCGCACTCTCACACTCGCACACACTCACCTACATCAATTATTTCTTTTTATTAAAGTGTCACCGGGGACGTATGAGTAATTAATTAAGCATGCTTAAGCATGTTATTGTTTATACTTTTCACATGGCATTTCCACTACTCTTGTCAACACTTCGTAAATGGGACGTAGGAAGTGAATAACTCCGACACCCCACACTTACTTTGTAGCCATTACGAAAATGTCTTTGTGTGGGTGATATGGGGGATGGATGAATTGTTGCCGCATTGTTAATCTTGCAACATGTCTTACCTCATCTCAGCTTGGTATTATAACACTTCATCTGTCACAAAGAAAGAATGAAAAAAACAACAACAAAATGACAACTCAAAGATCAAGCAGCAGGAAATTCATATGTTTATCCTGCTTTGTGTGGGTGTTTGGGTTTTTGTCAGCTCAGGTTTGGGTAATCCAGTTAGCTGAGAAGTATAACTTCAGGTAATTTTTCATTGAAGAAAATTCCTTGTAAATTTTGTAGGGTGATATATGTTTCATAAATAATGTGGGAGACGGAGGGAGAGAGGTAGGCTGTCTTTGTAGACGTGCTGAAGGCAGTATTTATAGATTGGTTCAAGGCTGTCATTATAGATGGACTTAAGGCGTGGGTGTTTAAATTTTTTTCAAGGCTTGCAACACTTACATAGCTGTCTTGTGACAGAACTTTCGTTCCATAAGACGAGCTTAAAAAAAATTCTGTGTGAGCCATCTGCTGGTTCGCTTTTATATGCCTTTTGGGCTGGGGCATCTTCATCCATTCTCACAACATGATCTAGCCAACGTAGTCACTCAATACGTAGATCTTTCGGATACTTTTTCTTTCAAAGACTTCAAGAGCTGCCTCATCTGCTTGAGTAAGTACCCATGCTTCAGATCCATATAACAGCACGGGTAGTATCAGCGTCTTGTAGAGTGTGAGTTTGGTATAGCGGAAGGTGGCCTTGCTTTTAAGTTGTTTGCTCAGACCATAGTAGCATCGATTGGCCATCACAATCCTTCTCCGAATTTCAAAACCGATGTCATTCGTTTTATTTATGACGGTACCATGGTATATAAAATCTTAGACTATCTCGAAGCTGTAGTTCTAAAGTTCCACAGTTGGTCCGGGTCTACTGGACGTCCTGCGCGTTTATACCATCAGTTTGATCTTCTCGCCCTTTACTGCCAGACCCACTTTGGCAGACTCCTTCTCAATTTGTTCAAAGGTGGCTGTTACCGCTCTCAATGTTCGACCCATTATGTCGATGTCATCGGCGTAGGCGAGAAACTGGTGTTGTTTGGTGTACAGAATACCATTTCTGTTCACCTTTGCCTCTCGTATGACCTTTTCCAGCAGGATGTTAAAAAGGTCACACGACAAACTGTCACCTTGTCTGAATCATCGTCCGGTGATAAAGGGCTCCGTGAGGTCCTTTCCGATTTAACGGGAGCAATTATACCAGTTAAAGTTATCCTGTATAGCCGAATTATTTTTGCAGGAATGCCAAACGCAGACGTGGCTTCATACACCTCTGAACGGATAGGGCTGTCGAATGCGACTTTATAGTCGATGAATAGGTGGAATGTGTCGATGTGTTTTTCTTGGGTTTTTTCCAGGATTTGGCGCAGAGTTAAAATCTGGTCAATTGTGGACTTGCCATGTCTGAAGCCCCATTAGTATGGTCCAATAATGTCATTGGCCATTGGCTTCAGTCGTTCACACAGGATAGCACCTTATATGCGATGGGAAGGAGACTTATTCCTCTATAGTTGCCACATATCGTCTTGTCTCCTTTTTTGTGCACGGGATATCCTATTTATACCAGAAGTTTTTCAAAATGCTCCTTCCAGATCCTCAGCACGCTGTCTGAATCTGTCACCAGGTTTCCTCCTTCACCTCTGCAGGAGGATGTGCCTGCACCAAAGCCTTCGGTCAGTAGCATTACGACACTCCTGACCGTAGCACGGATTTCTTGATGGTGCTCTTTGGTACCCAAGTTTTGCTTTTGTTGCAGTTTCTAGGGAGTGGGCAATTCTCTGCCATTGTGCTTCTATATTATTATCGGGACAAGGGGTGCTTTCGTCAAGCAGTTGGGTAAGTTCAGCTCAGTAGGCTTCTGCTATCTGCTGTGTTTGCAGCTTTTCGACGTCAAATTTCCGTGTTACAATAGATCGCACCTTTGCTGCTACATTAAGACGGCTGCGTACCTTGGCTGCTACAAGGTAATGGTTCGAATCGATATTCGCTCCTCGGATCGATCGGACGTCTAAAACACTGGATGAATGCCTTCCGTCTATCGCAACATGATCAATTTGATTTCTCGTTGTTCGATCGGGAGAAATCCAAGTGGCCTTGTGTATATCGTGATTCTTGAATCTGGTGCTGCTAAATACCATGTTTTTTTCTGCCGCGAAGTCAATCAACCTCTTGCCGATGTCTGATGTTTTCAAGGCTTGTATTAAGGCGTGGATTTTTTAAAAATTTTTTTCAAGGCTTGTATTAAGTCGTGGATTTTTTAAAAAAAAATTTTAAAGACTTGTATTAAGGCGTGGACTTTTTAAAATTTTTTTTCAAGGCTTGTATTAAGGCGTGGATTTTTTAAAAAAATATATTTCAAAGTCTCCATATACGGCTTGGATTTAAAAAAAATCTTTCAAGCTCTCCATAAGGCGGGGATTTTTTAAAAATTTTTTTCAAGACTTGTATTAAGGCGTGGACTTTTTAAAAATTTTTTTCAAGGCTTGTATTAAGGCGTGGATTTTTTAAAAATTGTTTTCAAGGCTTGTATTAAGGCGTGGATTTTTTAAAAAAATTTTCTAGGCTTGTATTAAGGCGTGGATTTTTTAAGACTTGTATTAAGGTGTGGACTTTTTAAAAATTTTTTTCAAGGCTTGTATTAAGGCGTGGATTTTTTAAAAATTGTTTTCAAGGCTTGTATAAAGGCGTGGATTTTTTAAAAATTGTTTTCAAGGCTTGTATTAAGGCGTGGATTTTTTAAAAATTTTTTTCAAGGCTTGTATTAAAGCGTGGATTTTTTAAAAATTTTTTTCAAGGCTTGTATTAAGGCGTGGACTTTTTAAAATTTTTTTTCAAGGCTTGTATTAAGGCGTGGATTTTTTAAAAAATTTTTTCAAGGCTTGTATTAAGGCGTGGATTTTTTAAAATTATTATTTTTTATTTAAATCTAAATTTAAATGAATTACGTTCCTTTGTTTTTCGTTTGTGAAAAAGAGACTCCCGCTTGAATTACATCAAAAAAAATGTGAAGTGATACTCGAGAAACAAATGAATTTAATTTCGTTGTTTTTCCTTCTTTCATCTACATAATATCTCATTTTCATGCTAATTAGATGAGGGAGGATGTGTGTGTGTGTGTGGATCTGTGTCCCGAATGCTATATTACGTGCCTGTGTCATTCTATAATTAATTCTCTTATCAAATACTAATTTGCCTTTCATTTTGTGTTTTTTTTTTCTTTTTTCTCCGATGCTTACATTTTCATTGTGGATTTGACACATACACACACTCACACACGTGCGCGAATTAAAATGTGAAAACAATGATTTGTGAACCAAATAATAATACAACAAAACCAACAACACCGATGAAAACAAAATACTTATTTATTTGGATGGAAAAAACAAAAACAACACAACATATTCAATCCAATGACATTAATAACAACATCAACAACTCTGGACATACACACACGCACACAATCACACCCGGACGAAAAAAAAACGACAACGAAATTGTCTTCCTCACCAAATAACCGCACAATTGCTCAACTGAATGGCACTTGGAATCACCAACGACGACGATGATGATGCCGACGACGACGATGGCGATAACAACCATAACTACATATCCAACTGACTGGCGGCTATGTTGTTTGATACTGTCCTGCATGTTGCCATCACTTCACTCCGCTCCCCCGCCTATGTGTGTCATTTGACTCTCCTGTGATGTGTTGCCACCACGTACACCATTCTACGTGTGTGTGTGTGTCTGCGTGTGTGGGTGTACAAATTTGCACTGTTGGCATTTTTCTTTGTTATTTGTTGCTGCCCCCGCTGATCGCTGTTCGTTGTTGCCTCCAGGGAACTACGTTGCTTACGCAACTCCATACATGCGAATTTATTCTTTACCTACATCATGTCTGGTTTACTCTGGATACTTACACTTTCTGTACAGGTGAGTAAATATATGTATGAATGTGTATGTGTGAGTACGTGAAGAACAGTGGTTCAATAAAAAACAAAAAACAAATATTTTCGAAGTCTCTATCAGAATAGTCGAAGACTTCTACAGGCTATCTGAAGGGATGGAAATACTTCTAAAATCGATCTCAAGAGTTCAGGATGTCTTAAGGTTTTAGACTGGTTCTTCATAGACGGGTTCTAGGTTAACAATTTAAAAGGGCTCGACTGTATTCCCTGGCGTGCTCTAAGTTTTCTAGGTGTGGATTTTTTTAAAAATATTTATACCCTACACAACTATGTTGTCAGTGTACTATAGCTTTGTGTAACCCCAAGAGTTTGTAACGCCAACATTATGTATACCGATAGTCATATCTCGAGTAGCTGAGTCGATCTAGACATGTGTGTCCGTCTGTCCATTATAATTTGTAAACACTATACAGGCCACAGCTATGGACCAATCTTCACGAAATTTTGCATTTTTTGGTAAAGATCGGTTAATATTTAGGGGATGAAATGGACCAAATACTTAATTTTTGTCGGTTTTTCTGAACGCTCCAGAGGCCGCAATTATGGCCCGAACATCACATGAAGAAGGGGATCGGGCTAAAGAATAAGTATGTCTGTTTTGATGAAGATCGGTCAATATTTGGCGGATCAAACTGACCCTGACTTTTGTGTGAAAAATTACAAAATTTGAAGGACATAGACCCGAAAAGTTAAAGGTAAACCAAGAGGAATGGTTGACCTTTAATTTGATGTCAATTATATTGTCGTATGTACTCGGATGTGGATGTTACACTTACATATTTACAGGTGCTCGCGTATTCATATATTATTTAATAACCCATTACCACATTAGAGGGCGGAAATATAGCGCAGATCACTTTGAAATTTTCCATAAGGATCCAGGTATGGTCAAGGACAACTCCTATAACTTTCGGTGATGATCAGATAATAATATTGGGATGAAGTGGACCGAAACTTTTGTGAATTTTTTGTTTTTTTTTTCGAGTCGATATGGAACCACAGAAAGTAAAATTTTCGTGGAAATTATGTAGGGTATCATATGATCGGCCCAGTCCGACTATACTATATATCCGCTCACTGGTTTTTAAATGCCCAACCTAGGCTTGTTTTCTTTTAATTTTTAAAGAATATTTTTTCAAGGCTTGGATTTCTTAAAGAATATTTTTTCAAGGCCTCAACCTAGGCGTGGATTTCTTGAATATTTTTTTCAAGGCTCTCAAAATATGCGTGGATTTTTCAAAGAATATTTTTTTAAGGCCTCAACCTAGGCGTGGATTTTTTTAATTTTTCAAGGCCTCAACCTAGTCGTGCATTTCTTAAAGAATATTTTTTTAAAGACCTCAACCTAGGCGTGGATTTCTTAAATAATATTTTTTCAAGGCCTCAACCTAGGCGTGGATTTCTTAAAGAATATTTTTTCAAGGCCTCAACCTAGGCGTGGATTTCTTAAAGAATATTTTTTCAAGGTCTCAACCTAGGCGTGGATTTCTTAAAGAATATTTTTTCAAGGCCTCAACCTAGGCGTGGATTTCTTAAAGAATATTTTTTCAAGGCCTCAACCTAGGCGTGGATTTCTTAAAGAATATTTTTTCAAGGCCTCAACCTAGGCGTGGATTTCTTAAAGAATATTTTTTCAAGGCCTCAACCTAGGCGTGGATTTCTTAAAGAATATTTTTTCAAGGCCTCAACCTAGGCGTGGATTTCTTAAAGAATATTTTTTCAAGGCCTCAACCTAGGCGTGGATTTCTTAAAGAATATTTTTTCAAGGCTCCCATAAGGCGTGGATTTTTTAAAGAATATTTTTTCAAGGCTCCCATAAGGCGTGGATTTTTTAAAGAATATTTTTTCAAGGCTCCCATAAGGCGTGGATTTTTTAAAGAATATTTTTTCAAGGCTCCCATAAGGCGTGGATTTTTTAAAGAATATTTTTTCAAGGCTCCCATAAGGCGTGGATTTTTTAAAGAATATTTTTTCAAGGCTCCCATAAGGCGTGGATTTCTTAAAGAATATTTTTTCAAGGCCTCAACCTAGGCGTGGATTTCTTAAAGAATATTTTTTCAAGGCTCCCATAAGGCGTGGATTTCCTAAAGAATATTTTTTCAAGTACAAGAAGGAGGCGTGGATTTCTTAAAGAATATTTTTTCAAGGCTCCCATAAGGCGTGGATTTTTTAAAGAATATTTTTTCAAGGCTCCCATAAGGCGTGGATTTTTTAAAGAATATTTTTTCAAGGCTCCCATAAGGCGTGGATTTTTTAAAGAATATTTTTTCAAGGCTCCCATAAGGCGTGGATTTTTTAAAGAATATTTTTTCAAGGCTCCCATAAGGCGTGGATTTTTTAAAGAATATTTTTTCAAGGCTCCCATAAGGCGTGGATTTCTTAAAGAATATTTTTTCAAGGCCTCAAACCTTAAAGAATATTTTTTAAGGCGTGGATTTCTTAAAGAATATTTTTTCAAGGCCTCAACCTAGGCGTGGATTTCTTAAAGAATATTTTTTCAAGGCCTCAACCTAGGCGTGGATTTCTTAAAGAATATTTTTTCAAGGCCTCAACCTAGGCGTGGATTTCTTAAAGAATATTTTTTCAAGGCTCCCATAAGGCGTGGATTTTTTAAAGAATATTTTTTCAAGGCTCCCATAAGGCGTGGATTTTTTAAAGAATATTTTTTCAAGGCTCCCATAAGGCGTGGATTTTTTAAAGAATATTTTTTCAAGGCTCCCATAAGGCGTGGATTTTTTAAAGAATATTTTTTCAAGGCTCCCATAAGGCGTGGATTTTTTAAAGAATATTTTTTCAAGGCTCCCATAAGGCGTGGATTTTTTAAAGAATATTTTTTCAAGGCTCCCATAAGGCGTGGATTTTTTAAAGAATATTTTTTCAAGGCTCCCATAAGGCGTGGATTTCTTAAAGAATATTTTTTCAAGGCCTCAACCTAGGCGTGGATTTCTTAAAGAATATTTTTTCAAGGCTCCCATAAGGCGTGGATTTCTTAAAGAATATTTTTTCAAGGCCTCAACCTAGGCGTGGATTTCTTAAAGAATATTTTTTCAAGGCCTCAACCTAAGGCGTGGATTTTTTAAAGAATATTTTTTCAAGGCTCCCATAAGGCGTGGATTTTTTAAAGAATATTTTTTCAAGGCTCCCATAAGGCGTGGATTTTTTAAAGAATATTTTTTCAAGGCTCCCATAAGGCGTGGATTTTTTAAAGAATATTTTTTCAAGGCTCCCATAAGGCGTGGATTTTTTAAAGAATATTTTTTCAAGGCTCCCATAAGGCGTGGATTTTTTAAAGAATATTTTTTCAAGGCTCCCATAAGGCGTGGATTTCTTAAAGAATATTTTTTCAAGGCCTCAACCTAGGCGTGGATTTCTTAAAGAATATTTTTTCAAGGCCTCAACCTAGGCGTGGATTTCTTAAAGAATATTTTTTCAAGGCCTCAACCTAGGCGTGGATTTCTTAAAGAATATTTTTTCAAGGCCTCAACCTAGGCGTGGGTTTTTTAAAGAATATTTTTTCAAGGCTCCCATAAGGCGTGGATTTTTTAAAGAATATTTTTTCAAGGCTCCCATAAGGCGTGGATTTTTTAAAGAATATTTTTTCAAGGCTCCCATAAGGCGTGGATTTTTTAAAGAATATTTTTTCAAGGCTCCCATAAGGCGTGGATTTTTTAAAGAATATTTTTTCAAGGCTCCCATAAGGCGTGGATTTTTTAAAGAATATTTTTTCAAGGCTCCCATAAGGCGTGGATTTTTTAAAGAATAAGGCGTGGATTTTTTAAAGAATATTTTTTCAAGGCTCCCATAAGGCGTGGATTTTTTAAAGAATATTTTTTCAAGGCTCCCATAAGGCGTGGATTTTTTAAAGAATATTTTTTCAAGGCTCCCATAAGGCGTGGATTTTTTAAAGAATATTTTTTTAGCCCCTGTCACAAAATTTGAAACCACTGTATGGTGTCCTGCATGTGTAACAAGGCGTGGATTTCTTAAAGAATTTTTTTTCAAGGCCTCAACCTAGGCGTGGATTTTTTAAAGAATAATTTTTCAAGGCCTCAACCTAGACGTGGATTTCTTAAAGAATATTTTTTTCAAGGCTCCCATAAGGTGTAGATTTTTTTAAAAATATTTTTTCAAGGCCTCAACCTAGGCGTGGATTTCTTAAAGAATATTTTTTTAGCCCTTGTCACAAAATTTGAAACCACTGTATGGTGTCCTGCATGTGTAACAAGGCGTGGATTTCTTAAAGAATATTTTTTCAAGGCCTCAACCTGGGCGTGGATTTTTTAAAGAATATTTTTTCAAGGCCTCAACCTGGGCGTGGATTTTTTAAAGAATATTTTTTCAAGGCCTCAACCTGGGCGTGGATTTTTTAAAGAATATTTTTTCAAGGCCTCAACCTGGGCGTGGATTTTTTAAAGAATATTTTTTCAAGGCCTCAACCTGGGCGTGGATTTTTTAAAGAATATTTTTTCAAAGCTCTCAAATAAGGCGTGGATTTTTTAACGAATATTTTTTAAGCGCCTGTCACAAAATTTGAAACCACTGTATGGTGTCCTGTATGTGTAACCGATTGTGTTCGTATATGAGGAAGTAAATTGTATATTTTTGTTGTTGTTGTGCATTACATTATTAATTCATGCAAAGAACACTCCACCCTTATATCGTCTCTAAATGCACACATAAACAATTTGTTTTGCTCTAATTTAAAGTATACAAATATGTATACGATTGTGTTGAAACATCGTGTATGTCGTCTAACTTGGGTTTACTGCTTTGCGAAGAAATTTGTTTATTAAATTTTTGTTTTGTCATCATCGCCATCATCAGGAGCAGGAGGAGCAGCAACAGTATACCATCATCAGCACCATCATTATTTTCATACTCCAATCCTCCGAACAGTTGGGTGAAAGTAATTCTTTGTCTTTTTCTCGTTCCATGTTGTTCTCTGCCATAGATTTCCCTGCATACCGGCATGGCGGGCTGTATTGTCCTGGTGACATTATTTCATTTCTTTACGCTGACAAATTTCTTTTGGATGTTGGTAGAAGGTAAGTAAAGTAGGATAACGAAGCTGAGGATTAGTTACCGTATAAAATAAATTATGACTTTAAAACGACGAGGGGCTTATACACCGCGAATGACAAATTATGCTAAATAAGTACTCAGACCAGATGGGAATGTGTTTTAGATGGAAAATTTATTAGAAAAACAAATAAACAATTTAAAGGGATATTTATTTTAAAGATAATTTAAAAATAATAACTTAAGAACATACGGAACAATATTTCTGTGGGAGCTACAAGGTTCATCAATAGGTGCTGATTTTTTAAAAATATTTTTTCAAGGGCCATCAACAGAAATGGATTTTTTAAAAATATGTGTAAAGGTTGACATAGGGGATGATAGATACCAAGCAACGTCTCTGATTCTCTTTAATATGGCAAAGTCCAGCCTTATCTTGGTCCCTCTTTCATCTCAGTTGTGGACACTGACCTCCCCGCAGTGCCACCTATGGTAGCTATTTTCATCACCCGATGAAATAGTGAGCTAATATGTGCCGGGAGTTCACCCATAAGAACTATAAAAAAATGGGTTGAGACTTCGGGTTAGTTGCCCACACTCGGAAAACCGAACCTACTATGAAAAAGCAAAGAAAAAGAAAACCAAATCCCCCTAATGTTGACGACCACCGCAAACGTATAAAGGACCACGATCTGCGAATCTGCACTTGCAATGTGCGCACGTTGTACAGGACAGGCGCAGTTGTCGGATGTACTCAAGAAGTACAAAGCCGATATTATTGCCTTACAGGAAATGCGATAGAAAGGGACTGGCGTAAGTAAATCAGATAATTACACCCTGTATTATAGCTGCCATGAAACGAGACGTGAATTTGGCTGCGAATTTACGGTTAACAGGAGAATCAACGACATCGTCTCCAAATTCACTCCACTATATGAGAGAATTGCTATAATCCGTATAAAAGCGAAGTTCTTCTAGATCCGACCGATGATAAAGATGAACAGACCAAATACATATTTTACGAGCGCCTAGAAACAGCATATGACCGTTGCCCTGGCCATGACATTAAAATTCTGCTAGGAGATTTTAATGCAAAAAATGGTAGGGAAAATACCTTTAGCCACCCCGTTGGAAAATTCAGCCTCCATGAAGGAACATCATACAACGGCATGAGGTTGATTGGCTTCGCGGTAGCAAAAAACATGGTAGTTAACAGCACTAGAATCAAGCATCTCGATATACACAAGGCCACTTGGATTTCTCCCGATCGAACAACGTGAAATCAAATCGATCATGTTGTGATAGACGGAAGGCATTTATCCAGTGTTTTAGACGTTCGCTCGATCCGTGGACCGAATATCGATTCGGACCATTACCTTGTGGCAACCAAGATACGCACCCGTCTTAATGTAGCAGCAAATGTGCGATCTAATGTAACACGGAAATTTGACGTCGAAAAGCTGCAAACACAACAGATTGCAGAAGCCTACTCCGCTCAACTTACCCAACTGCTTGACGAAAGCACCACTTGTCGCGATAATAATATAGAAGCACAGTGGGCAGAGAATTGCCCACTCCCTACAAACTGCAGAAAAAGCAACACTTGGGTACCAAAGATCACCATCAAGAAACTCGTGGTACGATCAGAAGTGTCGTAATGCTACTGATATGAAAAATGCAGCGTATAGGGCAACCTATAGAGAGAAAAGCAGAGAGGAGAAATTTATTTTCAGAAAAAAAGAAGAAATAACAAGAAAAACGTGAGCGTGAGCGTGAGCAAATCGACATGTACAGGAGTTAGAATGAAGTCCGAAAATTCTACCAACGGGTAAAACACCAAACCGAAGGCTTTGGTACAGGCACATCCTCCTGTAGAGATGAAGAAGGAAACCTGGTGACAGATACAGACAGCGGGCTGATGATCTGGAAGGAACATTTTGAAAAACTTCTGGTATCAAATAGTAGCTGTGAAGTGGATACCCCATAATCAATAATAGATGACGGTATGGAATGTATACTACCTATCCAAGATGAAGTCAGAATAGCAATCAATCGGCTGAAGAATAATAAAGCAGTAGATGCCGATGGTTTACAAACCGAACTATTCAAGACTGGTGGTCAGGTGCTGGCAAGGAGCATGCACCAGCTGATTAGTATAATTTGGCTAGAAGGATGCAAGCCCAATGATTGGAACCGCAGCATCCTTTGTCCCGCGCACAAAAAAGGAGACAAGACGATATGTGCCAACTATAGAGGAATAAGTCTCCTTCCCATCGCATATAAAATGATATCCAGCGTGCTGTGCGAACGACTGAAGCCAGTGGTCAACGACATTATTGGACCATACCAATGCGGCTTCAGACCTGGCAAGTCCACCATTGACCAGATTTTCACTCTGCGCCAAATCCTAGAAAAGACCCATGGAAAACACATCGACACATGCCACCTATTCGTCGACTATAAATCCGCATTCGACAGCCCATTCCGTTCAGAGCCATGTATAAAGTCTGCGTTTGGCATTCCTGTAAAATTAATACGGCTATGCAGGATAACTTTAAGTGGCACAAGATCAGCAGTTAAAGTCGGAAAGGACCTCTCGGAGCTCTTTAATATCTAACGAGGATTCAGACAAGGTGACAGTTTGTCGTGTGACCGTGTTAATATCCTGCTGGAAAAGGTCATACGAGAGGCAAAAGTGAACAGAAATGGCAATCTGTACACCAAACAACACCAGTTACTCGTCTACGCCGATGACATCGACATAATGGGTCGAACACTGAGAACGGTAACAGCCACCTTTGAACAAATTGAGAAGGTGTCTGTCAAAATAGGTCTGTCGGTAAACGGCGAGAGGACCAAGCTGATGGTATCAATGCATAAGACGTCCAGTATACTTGGACCTGAAACATAAGTACTACAGCTTCGAGGTAGTTAAAGATTTTATATACCTTTGTTTTCTCCCATACCTAGGTTCCGCCAATACGTTCCGCCAATACCCTGGAAAAACGTCAATACCGCAAAGCTGCCAAGGTACTGCTGGTTTTAATCCCTCTCTTTGGCATTACCTATTTGGTGGTATTGGCCGGTCCCTTGGAGGGCGGTGTCATGAATCACATGTTTGTCATTGTGCGGGCTGTGCTGTCGAACACTGAGAGCGGTGACAGCCACCTTTGAAAAAATTGAGAAGGAGTCTGCCAAAGTGGGTCTGGTAGTAAACGGGGTCTGGGTCTGGAACTTAAGAACTACAGCTTCGAGGTACTCAAAGATTTTATATACCTTGGTACCGCCATAAATAAAATTAATGGCATCAGTTTTGAAATTCGGAGAAGGATAGTGATGGCCAACAGATGCTACTACGGTCCGAGTAAGCAACTGATAAGCAAGGCCACCTCACGCCAGACCAAACTCACACTCTGCAAGACGCTGATATTACCCGTGCTATTATATGGATCTGAAGCATGGGTACTTACGCAAGCAGATCAGGCAGCTCTTGGAGTGTTTGAGAGAAAATTTCTCCGAAAGATATATGGGTCGATCTGCGTTGACGATGAATATCGCCGTCGAATGAACCATGTGTTGTGCCAGCTATTCTCGGACATTGACATTGTTAGACTGCGTTGGCTAGGTCATGTTGTGAGAATGGATGAAGATGCCCCAGCCCAGAACTGGCATATAAAAGCGAACCAGCTGATGGTTCACACAGAAAGATAGAAAGCCCAAGTTGAAGACAAAATTGTCGAATATGGTCTTTCAAATTGGAAAACATGCTCAAAGACCGCCGCGCCTGGAAATCTTGTTTTAGGTTGGCTTATGGAACGAAAGTTCTGTCACAAGCCAGCTGAGTAAGTAAGTAAAGTGTAAATGTTCATCAACAGGCGTGAATTTTTTAAAAAATATTTTTGGTGGATCCATACAAGGCTTGGATTTTTTAATTTATTTTTTTTGAGGGATCCATATAAGGCGCGGATTTTTAAAAAATAATTTTTTTGTTTTGGGATCAATATAAGGCGCGGGTTTTTTTAATAATTTTTGGGGATCCATAGAAGGCCTCGACAACAATGAACAACGTTTTTTTTTAATTAAGTTTTCAATAATATAAAAATTTTTACAAATATTTTTTCAAGGATTTGTTGATTTTTTTTAAAGACTAAAATTGTACCTTTCAATTTATTATTGTGAATTTGTTGTTATTTTAATTCCAAGAAAATGCATTGAACTGAAAGGAAGTGCCTTTGGAAAATGAAAACAAATTTCATATTTTATTTTGTTTTCGTCGAAGATTATTTATTTGCATATCATGTAGCCAATATAAGTCCCTGGTTGAAAGTGCTGCAGTACCAGTCCCCTCTACCTCTCCACCTATAAGACCACAGGACAACAACAACATATTTACCTGTATATCAATATTTTTATTTATTTTATTTTCTTATTGCATTTTTCTCTCTCCCCATTTTCCAATTCAATCGAAACCAACACCTCCAACCGAATGTCATGGTAATCGGGTGTGTGTGGCCACCAATAATAACAACAACAACACCTACACCCACCTCATACAGGGTTATATCTCTACATTCTGGTGGTGAAAACATTTTCCGGTGATAATACACGATTTACGGTCTATGCCACCATTGGCTGGGGTAAGTATGAAATAAATTTTCCAATTTATTTCCATGTGTGTGAGTGTGTGTAAGGATACAAAATTGTTTCTTTTCATTTTCCATTGAAAATGTCAATACGAGAAGAATTTTTGCAATTATGAAATTGACATTTTAAAATAAATATTTAATGGTCGGACCGAACAGAAAATCGAACCCAGAAAAATATAAAAAAAATCGGTATACTTAATTATTTCAATTTGTATAATTGGCCAGTTGGACACAATCACACACACACACTTTCCATACAAATATTTTTGTTTGTTTATTGTTTGGGTTTTCCGATTTTTTTGTTGTTGTTATGCTGATGACAGAATTTGCTTGCGGAAACCTCAATCACACACACACAACAACAACACAATGTTTTGAAATGATTTTTTTTCCTCTTAGAATAACAATTGTTTGGAATGTATGTGTGTGTGTGAGGGTATCCTCCTATTTGACTGCTTATTAAATCTATCCCAATATTTTGTCTCTTCTTTTCTTTTTCCTTGATCCCTTTTGGCTGTAATTGCTGTTTGTTGTGGCGGGTCATCATAATGACCAACAAACAACCATCAACCCCCCACCAACTAACAGGAGGTCCTGCTGTTTTTGTTGTTATTTGGGCGATAGCCAAAGGCCTGACAATGTCATCTGCCACAAATGACCAGGTATGTATCAGAACTCGTAAAAAAGGTAACGACATCCTTTGACAATGTGAATGTGTGTGCGTAAGAGCCTCTAGAAGTTAAGCAGAATTTATGGTCAATAGTGGTTCCAAAAAACGTAAACATAAAAAAAAAATTTTAAAGATATAAACAAGGTGCGGACTTTTTAAAGAATATTTTTTCAAGGCCTATATCAGGCGTGGATTTTTTTTAAAGAATATTTTTTCAAGTCCTATAACAGGCGTGGATTTTTTTTAAAGAATACTTTTTCAAGGCCTATATTATGCGTGGATTTTTTAAAGAATATTTTTTCAAGGCCTATATCAGGCGTGGATTTTTTAAAGAATATTTTTTCAAGGCCTATATCAGGCGTGGATTTTTTAAAGAATATTTTTTCAAGGCCAATATCAGGCGTGGATTTTTTAAAGAATATTTTTTCAAGGTCTATATCAGGCGTGGATTTTTTAAAGAATATTTTTTCAAGGCCTATAACAGGCGTGGATTTTTTAAAAACGATTTTTTCAAGGCCTATATCAGGCGTGGATTGTTTAAAGAAGATTTTTTTCAAGGCCTATATCAGGCGTGGATTTTTTAAAGAATATTTTTTCAGGGCCTATATCAGGCGTGGATTTTTTAAAGAATATTTTTTCAAGGCCTATATCAGGCGTGGATTTTTTAAAGAATATTTTTTCAGGAGTGGATTTTTTGAAGAATATTTTTTTAAGACCTATATCAGGCGTGGATTTTTTAAAGAATATTTTTTCAGGAGTGGATTTTTTAAAGAATATTTTTTCAGGAGTGGATTTTTTAAAGAATATTTTTTCAAGGCCTATATCAGGCGTGGATTTTTTAAAGAATCCACTCCTCTGAGATTTGGAAATACTTTGGAAAGGTCTATTTTCAAAGGTCCTAAATAACTCACCCGAAAAAAGGACTACACGTGCCCTTTTAAATAATAAAAACACTTCCTGTTTGTTTGAGATTAATTTTTCACATCAGTGGTTTTGGAAAGGGTTGTGTTTTTGAAATCACTGTTATGTCAGCAGGACTTTTCGACCAGCTAATGGCTTGGCCAAGGAAAGGATATCCTTCTAATTGCTTCAGTATTTCTATTAATTTCTGTACCTGATTTTACCATGAGTGTCTCCTTGTGTGTCTCTCTCTTTTACCATTTTTGTTCCTCAACCACAGATTGAAATAGAAGGCTGTCCATGGATGCAGGAAACCTATGTCGATTGGATATTCCAAGGACCGGTGTGTTCGGTTTTAATAATTAATTTAATATTTCTGCTACGAATAATGTGGGTAAGTTTGACAACAATAACAACAAATACCATTAGATAAAAGAGTAACAACAACAACATGAAACCGCAATTTAAAAATTAAAAACATTTTTCCGATTTTCTATTCCTCCTTGATTTTTATCTCCCATACCTAGGTGTTGATAACCAAACTACGTTCCGCCAATACCCTGGAAACCCGCCAATACCGCAAAGCTGCCAAGGCACTGCTGGTTTTAATCCCTCTCTTTGGCATTACCTATTTGGTGGTATTGGCCGGTCCCTCGGAGGGCGGTGTCATGAGTCACATGTTTGCCATTGTGCGGGCTGTGCTGCTGAGCACTCAGGTGAGTGAGTGTGGGGTGGTGGTGACCAGCAGCTGTGGCAGCAGCGGTTAACCTTTAAATTGTGTGTTTTTCACTAACGGAAAATTAATTAAAATCTATTTTCTTTTTATTTTCCATTTTTCTACTCTCGTTGCCGCAATAACAACAACAACAATGGTTTTGGACTAATGGTTTTAGGGGTTTTCGGTTTCATTGTTCTATTGTTTTCTTAATTCGGAGGTACGCAACGCCTTGCGGCATCACATCTCAACCTGGCAGGATGAACGCAATATACGCCTGAATCAATCCAGAAGGTAGGTATTATGTTGGCCCTCCCCAACCCCCCTCTCCCGAATGAATACACTCCCTCACCTAAATGTTTTGTGGATTAGTTAGTCAGTTTATCTAAGGCACATACTCTCCTCCTCTCCCCTGCTCACTCTCTTTCTCTGTAGGTATGTTTCCAAAGGCTTTTCCAAAGATACTTCACCGCGTACCGAGTGCACCAGGTATGATTTATAGGATTAAGCCTACTAAAAACTCACACACTCACTACTCCACCTCCTCTCTGTCTCAGACTGTGGTAAATTTTTGCAAATTCTTTGATGCTTTCATTCCGCTCGGGATTCAATACTGATGAAGTTTTTGTGTTTTCCTTCGAAAATTTTGTTTCTTCTTCTCTTTTTTCGGAATTGATATCGATTGCAGGCCACTGACAGCCTACTATGGGAAGGGTAAACGGGAGTCGTGTGTTTCATCGACCACCACCACTACAATAATTGGTCAACATCATTCAATGTCGCTGCAGCGTGGAATGGTTGGATGTGGTGCCATCGGAGGAGGTGGCGGCGGCGGATCAAATGGAGCTTTGCATATGATGCCAACAGCCACCACATTAACGCTGATGCCCAGGGCTGTGAGTCCTTTGATGAAGGTAGGTAATTTGGTTTTTCTTCTTGTTGTTGTAACATAGTGAAAGAAATCGAATGAAAGGTCCACAGATGTTCGAAGAAGAAGAAGGGATATTGGGAAAACAAGATATCAAAGGATGTAAGTGTAGAAATAATAAAATCCCTTATCAATTACAAGGTCAGGATATTGATAGCTGGAAATTAAAGCATTTAAATATTTAAAAAGTAAAAAAGCAAAAATCGTAAAGAATAATTATTCAAGGCGTAGATTTTTTAAAGAATATTTTTTTCAAGGACCTCAGAACAAGGCGTGGATTTTTTAAAGAATATTTTTTCAAGGACCTCAGAACAAGGCTTGGATTTTTTAATTTTGATTTTGTTCAGGGTCATACCAAGGCGTATATTCTTAAAGGATGATATTTTCAGGGTCATAATAAGGCGTATATTCTTAAAGGATGATTTTTTGGGGTCATACCAAGGCGTATATTCTTAAAGGATGATTTTTTCAGGGTCATATCAAGGCGTGGATTCTTTAAGGATGATTTTTTCGGGGTCATACCAAGGCGTAGATTCTTTAAGGATGATTTTTCAGGGTCATACCAAAGCGTAGATTTTTTAAGGATGATTTTTTCAAGGCGTAGATTCTTTAAGGATGGGTTTTTCAAGGCGTAAATTCTTTAAGGTTGATATTTTCAGGGGGTAGATTCTTTAAAATATCTTTAGATAAAAAAATCGTCAGGTCCCTGAGGGCACTTTTTTCTATAGAAAAAAAAAATCGTCAGGTCCGTGAGGGCACTTTTTTCTATAGGAGAAAAATCGTCAGGTCCCTGAGGGCAATTTTTTCTATAGAACAAAAAATCCTCAGGTCCCTGAGGTGGCTTTTTTCTACACAAAAATTTGTTTAGGTCCCTGAGGTGGCTTTTTTCTATAGAAAAAAATTCTTGAGGTCCCTGAGGACGCTTTTTTCTATAGAAAGAATTCCTCAGATCCCTGAGGACACTTTTTTCTATAGAAAGCAAATCCTCAGGTCCCTGAGCACACTTTTTCCTATAAAAAACAAATCCTCTGGTCCCTGAGGACACTTTTTTCTATAGAAAAAAATTCCTCAAGTCCCTGAGGACACTTTTTTCTATTGGAAAAAATTCCTCAGGTCCCTGAGGACACTTTTTTCTATAGAAAAAAAATTCCTCAGGTCCCTGAGGACACTTTTTTCTATAGAAAAAATTCCTCAGGTCCCTGAGGACACTTTTTTCTATAGAAAAAAATTCCTCAGGTCCCTGAGGTGACTTTTTTCTATAGAAAAAAATTCTTCAGGTCCCTTAGTTATCTTTTATTCTATAAAAAAAATTCTCCAAATAAAATATCTCTGAAAAATTTATAATTGTATTAATAAGAAATATTTCTAAATTATTTGATTTATGTTTTCTTTCTTTCCAGGACCTTGAAGAAAATTCAGTGTAAGCTAATCAACATTTTCACTCAAATCAAAAACCAAAACAAGCTGAAGGCGGATGTACCTGATGTTTACATCACATAATCATCATCAACAAAACCCTCCAAAAACCAAATAAACCCTATACATATTTATTTTTTCAAAAAAAAAAAGTAAAAACCAACATAGCAATACCTAACCTTAAAAAAATAACTAATATTTTTGTGGTTTCTGGAATTTTGAAAGCAAAGCAACCGAGTTTAAAAATTAACCACATAACAACAAAAAATACATATTAAAGGTATAGACCAAATAACATTTATATAATACAAATTTATAAGTAGCATAATGTAAATATACATAAATACATATATTCCAGATATATACAAACACACACACATATATTTATATATATATATATATATATATTGTAGTATAATAAAGTTTAATTTTTATGATGAAAATGATAGAAAATTGAGAATAAAATTAAGAGCACTTTGTATAGAAATGTTTATAAATGCACCAAATTAAAAACGAAATAATAGCAGAAGATGAAGACAAAACAAAACCAGCAACAATATTACAACAACGTAAATTTTAATTCTCAAAATCAGATTTGTTTTGAGGCAAACCACATTCTGGTGTTTTTTATTATTATGAATAACACATTTTTATGTTCCGAGTCTTCCGTTTTACAAAGTAGAAAGAAAAAATAATAAAATCACAAAAAAATAAATAAAATATTTCCTGAGGCCACACAATAATAACCACTTTTAAAGTTTTTTTTACTTTCTTTATTGGAGAATACAGTGGAACACAAAAGTGAAAGCTCTTCATCAGATAGGAGTTATTTTTAAGGGACTTCTGTGAATAGAAATCTTATCGTAGGTACCTGTGTACACATCAGATCTTTCATATTGGAAATAATATGTTTGTAAGAAATCCACACGTCGAATGTGTCATAAAAATATATCTTTTAAAGCCCTGGCATTGGATATACTTGGTAAAATGTCCTTTAAAAAATAAACGTCCCAGAAAAAAATTTGCTTAATATCAATGCTATGGTAAGTCGCTGAAAAAATTTTTTTTTTAAAACTCTCACTTTTTTTGAGGTTCATAAAAAACATGTTTTTTTTAATATATTGTTGAATTGCTTCAGGTATATTCAGAACCCAAGCCTTAGATAGTCATAGAAAAATATTTTTAAAAATCTAGACATTAACGAAATCCAATCTTCAGGTTGATCTATGAAAAAATATTTGTTCAAAAATACAGGGTTTAGATAATTACAGCAATAAATATTTTTAACACCACCTTGGAAATGCGTAGATTTCTTAACAAAGGCTTTGGATATTAGCTGAATACAAAATTAACCAAAGATTTGGTTAGTCTCTAATAAAAATATTCTTTGAAAAAATGCAGCTTTTGAAAGATTCTGTATAATAATCCTTTACAAAATCTACACGTTGAATAAACTTAAACAATTTTTTAAATCAATGCCTTGCGCAGCCTCTGAAAAAAATGAAAACCTAAGGACGTCCAGGACCCCTAGAACGTCCCTAAAAAATATTTCATTTCAAATATAGGTTTTAACCAG